CTCATCCACCTCCCACATTCCCATCTGGATTGTAAACTTTGATTTTTTTGTTTTGTTTCCCTTTTCCCCTCTTGTCAAGAAAATTTACAGAGCTTGTCCTTCATCTCCTTCTAAAGATAGGGTATGTGAAGGGAAGAAGCAGAGAGATGCTGAGTCTTATCAGGTTTTTGTTTGGTCTTGGTTCATTTTTTTTCCTTGTGTTTAAGCTGTAGCTGGGGTGGGATTTCTTCTTTGTTTCAGGGAGTGCTGTAGAAATGAAATTTTCTGTGATTTTTCCTGGCTTGTTCCTTTGTGCATAATTCACTGAAGTGACAACATTTTTTCCCCTTTAAAATTTACTGTTTGTTCTCCTTTATATCGCACAATGGCAACCGGCTGTTTCTGAAGTGTAACTCTCCTTGTAGGAACTTAAGCATTGGCAACAGGCTTAGTGTGCAGCCCACATCACCCTCCGGCACTGTGCACGGTGCTTCCCAGCACAGACAAGATGTGATTCAGGTGCACTAAACACAAAAGGGATATACGTTTTTCTAAAAATGAGCTGCTTGCAGACACCGTTGCTCTACGGTGTCTTAGTTCAGTGTCTGGGGAAGAACACTTGGGAACGTGTGTAACAGCAAACCTGCTCTACTCTTAGGAAACTTTTAAGAGAATTGTTCATTTATTGGGGAGGAAACCGCCAGCTCCAGCCCACAAATACAGGGCAGCTGAAGGTCCCAGAGGATCCTATCAAAATGAGTGTTTTTTCCATTGGTTATAATTCTAAATGAGGAGTATGCCTTAAAGAAACTTTAATTGACGTTGCTGTGAGCTTGTTGCTGCTGCGCTGCAACCTGTGAGGATCCTCTGGTAAACCGAGTTTAATGCAAGGTCTTTGCTTTGATATTGGCCCAAGCTGCTAGCAAGAGGTGACTTCCTTGTCTCCAGCCATAATGTCCTGCAGCAGCTGCATGTCCAAAGACGGATGAAAGGGGGATTCTCAGGAGCTTCCCAGAGGGAACAGGAGCGCGTTGCCGATCTCTTGCCGATCAGCGCGTGTGCTACTCGCAGGGGCTGTGGAGCTTGTGCGCTCACAAGGAGGTAGCGTGTGTGTCTCATTAGCTTTCCAGAGCTGTGTGCGCCAAACGTGTCCACTTAAATCATCAAATTTACTCCTGTAGATGGGAGGGAGGAGAAGCACTGTGTGGCTGTTCAGACATTTCAAAGGCACACAGACACTACCAGTAGTGTCCTATCATTTCGTAAGCAGGTTATGACATTAACCTCCTTAAGAAATATCATCCTCCACGTATATCCAAATGAATCCATACTTGCTGGGCTACATCAATAGAGCCTTCGGCAGCATGCTGTGCCAGGGACATTTTTCTCTGTAGCAGGGTGCTACCTTGTGTAATGACTTAAGGGTTAGATCACTTGGGAAATTTAATTTGGTTAGTTGGTTGTTTTTTTGGTAATGTGACTCCCTTGAGGAATACTGTCTTAAGAATTTGCCTTGCCCATTAAGAGAGCCAAAAATAATGAGCTCATTCCCTTAAAATAAGCAGGCTTATAAAGAGAGAGTTCTCTCAGAAGAGGGATGGGAAGGCTTAAATTCTTTGCCAGCAGCCTCAGGTATGTCACAGAGCCTGCAAGTGTATAAATTGCACCACTAGAAATGCTGACTGCAGCTGGCAGTTGCAGCCCTTTGCGAGAGTTTGCTGCTTCCCAACCATGAGATAAAGAGAAACAAAAGGAGCTGCTCAGTAAATTAGGAAGCAAGAGACTAGTGCATTGCCGTGATAATCCACAGCGAGTTAAAAGCCTGTGGTGCAGTGGGACACGCACGCACCTCTGCTAATATGCCCATTGCTCAAGCTTTATTGGAAGAACATGCTCAACTGTTGGAGCTCCAGGACCTTTTTTATTGCATTTAAAAAGCAGGAAGCTGCTAAGCAATAGCTGTAAATTCTCCCTAGAAAGTTGCAGATTCTTAAAATTTTGCCAGAAAATGGTGGCAAAGAATAGGTAGGCTGAAGATCAAAAGAGATGTCCCAGGCACTAGCATTTCCTGCAGCTTGGTTTGTTATGTAACTGAGCTGAGCACATACTGCAGCCACAATTTTAGCAGGCGCCTGCACGGTGCAGTCTCAGTGAGGATTTTGGCTGCAGCTATGTAAGCTGCCCTGTAGTGTTGTAAATTGGAAGACAGTCTTTGCTGACCTGAACAACTGGCTTAGATTTTCAGCAGGTGCTTCAGAAATGCAGCGCTGTAATAAGTGATTGGTGTATCAGTTGTGCCTCCAATCCAGAGCTTCTCAAAGAAAGCCCTTGGGATTCTTGCAATTAGGCTGGAACGTTTGCTTCTGAAGCTGTACGTGCCCCTCCGTTTCCTTAGACCTAGCCTTCTTTCTTCTTTAACAATCAAAGCCTAGCAATAGTTTTTCATAATTTGAGTGTGTCACTGGCAAAAGGCAGGAGTGGTGATGTTCAGTGATTCCCAGATGTGAAACCAGAGCAAACACCGACAACCCAGTGAGGGGAGCAGCTGGGCTAGGGGTGTGAAAATAGTTGTGTTTTTCATGTAAGAGATTCAGTTAAAATAAACCACAAACTGACTTCTTATCTCAAGAACGAAGTAGTTCTTCATGCTTTGCACCGTCAGATATTGAGTTTGTTCTGTTTTTAAGGTCAGATACATGAAGTCATCTTGACATGAGCAAGAAGGATTGATCTTGGTGTCAGGCAGGCGGGTTGTATAGCTGGCCAGTCTCTGCTCTAGTTATGTTACTCTTTATGTGCAAACATGTAGTGCGATCTGTCCATGCAGCAATGAAAACTGAATGTTATTTTTCCGAAGTTTTTATCATCGCCCTGACCTCACCTCAGCACCACGCCACTGGGCTCCCCATCCCAGCACCCTTCATCCCTGGGGGGGTGCTGTGGAGAGGATCTCTGCAAGGGGAGAGACTCCAGAGACTCCTTTGACCCTTTAGGACTGAGGCAGCTGCCTCAGCGATGCACCATCTCTGTGCAGCTCTGCCTCATCTACAGGCACAAGACACTGAAACAGGCTGTCTTCAGGGGCCTTAAAGGTAATTCTCAGTGGTCTTCAAACCATCTCCTTTTCCTGAGATGATCAGCTTCCTGAGGGTCCTGGATGAGGAAGGAAACAGACTTACAGGTATGCAGTTGGCACTGGTACCAGTTGGGTATGTGCAGTTGACTTACACCAACTGGGTGAGTTTGAGAGCTGAAACCATTGCAATAAGTTGAGTTTAAGCCAACCAAATCACAAATTCCTGCTACTTGAAGTATTTGAGAGAGCTGCTGATGAAAATCTTGATCCAACCTTATAAACATACATCTTTTCATGACCATATCCACAATATACGCATTATTTTTCCTGTTCCTGTTTCTGCATTTGTGGCTCCTTCTGTCACAAATGAATAGAAACGGTATCTCACTGTTGGATGTGGAATCTTATGGCAGTGCTGCAGGTGATAACATGAAGCTGTGCTTTCGCTTGTGTTTTTCCATGGCGGAAAAGGATCTCGCCTTCACTAAATGACTCTGTTCAAGCATTTCCATTGTAAACTCTTGTGCTGTCCTTCAGAGAGATACAGAAAAGAGGATTTGTTGTGTCTAAAAACAAAGAGGGAAATTAACCAATAAAAAATATTCCACACCAGGTTGTATCTCAGGAGGTACATTTTATACTGTGTCATAGTAAAACCAGTGGCAGTTATGCCCACGGTAGGACTATACATCCAATAGTGCAAGAAAGCTGGATTAAGCAGTTCTGTGCATAAACAAGTCGTCATAGATTACCCATAATGGTGAAGGTAAGGGGATTCTGCTTGGCTTGTTAACACTGTGAAATAAGCTATGCAACTTAGTCCATTTTGGCTTTTCTGAAGTTTCATGCACTATGGCTGTAGGGCGGGTGAAAATATTTCACATTATATAAATCAGTGTAGATAAAATTCCTCATTAACTCTATAAAAGTGGATCCTTGGGCAAAGTCTGAGAAGTGTCCAGGGTGGCCCTTTATCCCCTTGAGTTCCTTTAGTGTATTCTCAGTCTTTATTTGTCCAAAGTATTTTGATTTGTTTTTCTTGGTGTTTGGAAAAATATTTATTTCAAATTCAGGAAGAATTAGGAGAAGAAGCACTGACTGTATTAAGGGGTTTTCAGCAGAAAAATAAAAGTTGACCAAGCAAATCGGCAAAAGGCTAGGCAAGAAGTCCTACTGCAATGAAATGCCACCTGTGAGTTTGAAGATTCATGCTGGAAGTGCTGTATTCTCAGAGCAAATTTGTAATAGTTATTTGCTGCACATGGAGAGGAAAAAAAAAAAGACCCTCTAAGAGGGACTCGCTGAGATAGCTATATATGTACGATATAGACATCCCATGTATGATATAGACAGCCACATCTGAGCTAGTTGTATAAACTCCCTGCATAGTCAGTCAGCCAGATACAGGCTGTTGCAGGACACGATCAGTTTGGTTTATGTTAAGTGTCTGTCTTAAGTGGAGATGAAAATGTGTCCTACCATCATTTCCTTCCACGAACTGCAAGGGGAGCGCTGGCTGACAGTTCAAGTACCCAAGAAACAAGAATCCAAAATGAAACCTGATCATAGGTACAAATTCTGGCATTTATTCCTTCATCCTTGTGACATCCTACTAGTTTCAGACAGGCTGGACACCTGCTTACGGTCTGGTGGTTTCTGAGTCTTACAGTCTTTATGGAATGACACCGACCAGAGGATAACGCCTGCCAGCCTTTGGGGTGAGGGCTCTCTTTCTGGTTTGTGTTTATACAGCCCCTACCCCAGCAGGGTCCTGCCCCCAGATGGACCTCCTGTCCACACCACTGTACAGATAATCAATAAGAGCAGACTTAATTAGAACTTTGATCAGTCTCTCTCCCACTAATTGCCTGTGTTTTAAATCCCTGTGATGTCTAAATGAGTTTTGATAAGAATTCTCTGTCTCTCATTTCCTTGCATCCCACAGGAACACATTTACAAGCTGATGAAGAGTGACAGCTACGCGCGCTTCCTCCGTTCCAACGCTTACCAGGACTTACTGCTGGCGAAGAAGAAGGTATCTGTTGGAAAGGACATGCTTGCATCTTTTAGCACTTCTTGATTCTCACCTGCTGCTTGCTATTTGAAAATGAGAACATTGTTTCCTTTTTTCTATTTTTTTTATTTTTATTTTTAAAAGAGGAATGGGAGCTTTTGTTTTCTTCACCAAGGGCACAGGGTATGGCATCCGCATGCCACAGCCTCAGTGTATGTTTTGGGCAAAATATGGAATAGTTAGCAACCCAAGGTACAAAGTATGGAAAAAAAATGTTGGTCTTTCACAACTGTCTTCCAAACTCAGTGCAGACAATTAAAATTGCATTGCCTTTGCTGCATGGCAGAGATTATATTTGGTATGAGAAGTAGAACCCATCAATCTATTTGCTGGTGCAAATTTCACCCATTCTGTTTTTTTGCCTCCGTAGTCTCACCATGTGATCTTCCCTTTGGATGCCTTACCTATAAACCTCCCTGTGGTGATTTCTTTTCTGCTTTTTCTCCTTCTTTCCCTTGCTCTTGGCTCCACAGAAGTGGATTTTCTTTTCCTTGAGGAAAGAAATAATTGCAACCCATGCAGTAATCAAGAATTTCAGGCACATCTTTCACAGGAGAACTGGGTTTTAGCTCTTTTCAGCCTTTTTGGTATCCGCATGTCCTCTGCCAGCGCTGTGTTTCTGCCAGAAAGCCACAGTACAGGGTAGGAAGGAATGGTTATGCAGAATTAAGGCAGCTCTTATCCAACTGGCTCAGGTCGCTCAATCTGAGGGGGCTGGGAGGTAAGCTACTTATCTTTGCATTTGTGGCTGTGTTCACATGCTTTCTGCACATCTGGACTTACTCCTGTAAGCCTGTGTGTCCGTGTGTGTGCATATGCATGCATGCACACACGTGTGTGTTCACCTTACGTTTGACTTCCAGGACAGCAGATAAAACAACTCCTGAGTGCTGCTGCCTGAGCATGCGGTTTTGCATCACCATGTTCCCTGCTGTTTTTTCTGCTGCATTCTCTGTGTGCTGCCAAATTACTTTGCATTGGCACAACACAATGAAATCCCAGTGGTGTTTTTGTCCTGATTGTCATTGTGTGTCCTAAAAGCATGCATATGGTGACAAAAGGAGACAAACCCTTCTGTCTGCTCTGCCTGGAACGACTGGCAGGTGGATTAGAGGAAGGTAATAGAGGGCATGAATTGGCTCTATGTTTGAAAATGTCTACTTTTGAGGCAGTACAGACTAGAAGAGAAAATATGATGCTGCATACATTTGAAAAGGTTCGACATGCCTTGGAGTTCAAAGGGAGAGAAGGAGGTGCAAGGAAGAATCTTCAGATGATACAGATTGAGGCCTTTTGCCATCCTCCTACCCCTAAGAGCCTAGTGTGTGTTACTCCCCCCACAAAGCCTCCCTTGAACACATGAGGCCTCATGTGCTTCAGCACAGGAGATTTTCCTCCTCCCAGCTGAGCCTGTTCAAACCAGAGATTTTTTTTTTTTTTTTTTTTTTTTTTGCAATCATTGTTTGCTGTCAGATCAAGCCCTGGACCTGTCAGCGTGACGTCCTCATCCCCCCGCAGACTGCCTGAGGAGCAGGTTTTAGTGTCATGTTAACACAGCCGTGAAAGTAAGAATCAAGTTTCTTTTAGAAAGAGCTGTGTGTGCTCAAATAAACACAGCTAGTTTTTATTAAGTTACTCCAGGATCTGCACAGCGCTTTGCAATCACATTGCATTGTGCTGGGCATGGGAGCGTTTTTGAAGCAGTGTAGGCATGCTGACAGGAAGAAAATGAAGTTCCTGTATGCTGAGCTGCGTGCTAACATCTTCAGTAACGGCACGGCACGACTTCGGGAGGCACCCTTTAATATTCCTTCAGATAGTTGGAAAGCAGAGGGAAGGAAAAGGGAAACAGTGGAATATCAAAGGCTGTATGGATGGAAGACTTAGCTTAGCCTATAGGCAAAATCCTGGATTCCCTGATGTGAGAGGAAATTTAGTACAGTTGTGTGAGGCTTGATGAGTGTGTCTCTTTGGGGCAGGACTGTCTTGCCCCAAAGACATTATCCTAATATTGCCTCATACAGAGCCTTACTTTTATTATTTAAAATAAGTAATATCAGAAGAACAACATAATGGGGTTGATATCAATTACGTGTTTGCACAGAGTAAATGAGCATTTCTCTGGCTTGACTCATGTGCTAGTATTTTGTGAGCAAGTTTGTGTCTGTCAGTTGGTGTCTTTTGCCCTGCCTTCCCTCCAGTGCTGGGCTGTGGCAGCCTGAGGGGGCAGAGATGGGAAATAGATTGTTTGTGCAGCTAAAGCACAGAACTGAGAGTCACAAAATCCTTGCTCTTCCCCTGGTTCCACTGCTTTTTTCTCTTGTATGATTGTGGGAGGAAAAAAACAAAAAGGTCAGTTTTGCTCTGACTTAAATTCTTGTCTCTGTCAAGTGGGAGTAAGAATAGTTACCTGCTTAGTAGAGATGTTACAAGGTTTAATGAGTGCCTCAAACATGCTTAACGTTTTTTAGATCTGGAGTTTGGAAAGCACCATGAGTTGAAAGAGATGCTTTTCTCCTGGTCTGTGCAATGACCACACAGGTGTAAGCTCTGTGAGTGAGGAGGAGGGAGGGGTAGTTATGGGTCAGGCCTGAGATACAGGGACAGACTTAGGAGAAGGACCAGGGAGGATAGAAGGAACATATTTTTCACATCACTAATTGAAGCAAGACAGTGGCCATAGGCTGCATGCAGACCACACATACATACTGTGTTAATCCATTTTAGATTTATTTTTCTCCTTTCCTCTCAGTGTCATTATTGCAAATAACCACAGTGCTGTTGGCCTTGATCCTGCAGATTCATGGTGCTCAGCGGGGATCATGGGGCTGGCCCGCAGTGTGGGTGTGATTGGAAGCAATACTCTAGAGAGGAGAAGAGCTGGGTGTTATTCACACAGCAGCCGCCTTCGCCTGCCGGGCCGAAGCAGAGAGGGACGAGGGCAGAGCTCTGTTTGCAAGAGGAATGGCCTGATTTTAGCTCTGCGCTTCCCGCCCGGCCTTTCCCCTGCGGGGAGGCAGGAGCCGCCGAGCTGCTGAGAGCAGCAGGCTCCGCGGCGAAGGCCTCGATGGTGCCGAGGTCCCCGGCCGACTCATCGCGTTTTATTTGCGTATCTGCACCCCACGCCCCACTTGTGCTGTGCGGAGTCAAGCACCAACCTGCTCGTGTTTCTGCTGATCCACACGCTGCCTTCGCAGCAGGCAGCAACCATCACCCCCCAGCCCTGCTCTGCCGTAGCCAAAAGGGTGTCCTTAGATGGCAGGGAGCTTTATGTAAGAATGGGTGCCTTGACAAACCTCCTTGCTCAAGTCAAATAGGAAATTTGGCTGGGTGATTTGGCTGCAGAGCAGGGACTTATTCCCTGGGGAAACAGCTGAATCTATTACTTAGAGCACCATGGAGGCGGGGGAGCACCACAGGAAGCTACATTAATGGCACAGGACTGGTTAGACGAATGCTCTGGTGGTTATTTCTGAGGATAAGGGAGAGAGAGGAGCAGAAAAGACCTTGAGGCACTTTCCACTGCTGTCTGTAACAGGAAGGTGCAGCTGTGACATTGGTGGGCATCTTGATGTCAGGAGATTGCTACAATTTGCCTTCTTTAGGAAGAGGGGAGCACTGTTTTTCTCTTCAGCTGGCTCAGGAAAGGCTGAGCTGCAAACCTGCTCTTGGGCTTTTCTTGAGCCCCCAAGTCAGGGAGCTGGGAGCTTTATGTGCACTCTGTTCAGCACACGCTTTTTGAACCGCTGCGTGGAGGAGACGGTGTCAGGGAGCTGCTCCAGAGTGATGAGATTTCATTTTCTGCACCTACTGGGGCTGAGGTGTTCTCATTTACACTGGGGGTGGCCGTTTCATCTTTACCTAAATTAGCTTGTCCTTTGCTGTTAGCTGGTACAGCTGGCAGTGGGTATACAGGCAAAGCAGGACACCCAAGGACAGCCGGTGTCCGCAGCCTGCCCAGGCGCTTCCCGCACCAGAGCTGAGGGAATCACAGAACCAAGAAAGGTCCAACCCAGTCTCTCTCTCTTTAGGTTTTAACTTTGCTATTTTTGAGTTTCCTTCCATTGCTCTGTGCGGCCGCCGTGACCCTGATGCCTGGACGCGGGGGAGCTGTCGCTTTGGCAGCGCACGGCCGGGCGCGCGCCCTGCAGCACACGGGCCGGAAGAACCGGGGAGCCCACGGCCCCTTAGACCATTAAAAACCACTAAAACACGACTCGTAGGCTGCAGCCCTCCTACGTCAGCTGCTTCCTGTTTTCCTGGAAAACGTCATGCACCTCAGCACTCAGGTCCCTCCTCGTCTGCCTCCCTCTGCCAGCTCTTCTTTGCCCCCAGTGACGCTCCATTTTTTAAAATGTCTTTGGGCCAGTCATTGCTTTCCATCTTCCCGAGAGGAATTAGTCCTCTGGTTAGCACATAGTCTGTGTGCATGAGACACACGTAGAGGCTCTGCGGTACCCATTCCCTGCTTTGCTGCAAGGTAGCCCTTCCCTTTCTCCTTTCTTCCTGCTTGTTCTTCACACGGCCAGCGTGCTACTCGGGGAAGGCTGCAATGAGCAGCCTTGGAAGCAACAGCTGTTGTTTGGGTGTGCTAAACACACCCTCCTAGTTATGATGTTGTCCTGAACATTCAAAGTAATATTCAGCACATCATACTTTAAAAAATTTAATCAAGTGACTGAATGGATCTAAAGTTTTTTCCTCCTAGTGCCTCTAGCTTTCATGTTTCATGCCACTTTGGGGACATAGTAGCTGGCAGTGTGGCTTTCTCAAACGACCTGAAGTCAGGAGGTTGCTTGAGTCTTTTTTCTGGATAAGGAGTGTTGCTTGTCTTAAAGCGCTATGTTCTGGTCTTATCTCTCAGGTTCTCACCAAGAAGAACCAGTCCAGTCCCTGGCTGGAACACTTTGGATTAATCTCTTAGGCATCAGAGTGCTGCAGTTTATAACTCCATAATCAAC